AGGATCTCCCGGTCCTTGGCAGCCAGAGCCACCTCCAGCCTCGACCCTGAGCACATGGAATAGTTCACTTTGTCCTGCTGGGAGAGGGGACATCGTCAGCTCCCGGCCACCTGATGTGGGGACACGGGCCACCCTCCCCATCAGACACAGAACTGCCTCGACTGGAAAAGCCCTTTAAGCTCACCGAGTCCAACCATGAACCCAGCACTGACAAGTCCCCGACTAACCCATGTCCCTCAGCACTGTGTCTACACGACTCTTCAATCCCTCCAGGGATGGGGACTCCACCACTGCCCTGGGCAACCCCTTCCAATGCCTCAGAACCCTTTCAGCAAAGAAATTCTTCCTCACATCCAATCTCCACACGTTCCCATGGGGAGCAGGTGAGCCCAGGACTCAGCCCTGCAGGATGGGGACTCGGGGTGACGCAGCCATGGGCAGGGATAGACCTCTCCTCTGCCCTTACAGGTGCCCCAGGTACATCTGCTTGGTGCTATGGGGGTGCAGGTCCCCCCTTCCCGTAGGATGCTGGTACTGCAGGTGGGGCATGGCCAATGCTCCCGCCCCCATGGAGAAATGCCTCAGTCACAGGCATTTCAGGCTTGTTCCCAAACATGGTGGGTGCTCCTGGACACAAAAGGGTGCTCCTGAATGTAAAGGGGTGCTCCCAAGAACAGTGGGATGTTCCTGGACATGCTAGGGTGCTCCTGGCCATGATGGGGTGCTCTCAAGTGCAATGGGGTGCTCCCGACTATGGTGAGGTGCTCCCACATGCAATGAGGTGGTCCTGGTTAGGATGGGGTGGTCCCAAGTGAAACGGGGTGCTCCTAGCTCTGATGAGGTGCTCCCAGGTGTAATGGGGTGCTCCTGGCTGAGACAGATGCTCCTGGCTGCCAATCGCCATGGGGTGCTGCTGGCCCTGATGATGGGGTGCTCCCAGCTGCAATGGGGTGCTGCCAGCCTCGAGGGGTGCCCTCACCCCAGCAGTGCCCGGCGAGGAGCAGCAGGCCAGGCGGAGGGAGCTATTCACAGCTGCCAACTGCTCCCGCAAGCTCTCCACCTCCCTCTGCGCCGCCTCCGCTCGCTGCAAGAGAGTAGAAAGCGCGTCAGGTCAGGCACCCACAGCTCATCCCACCCCACACAGCACAGAGCAGGGCTCTGGGATCTGCACCGACCCATGTCCCTCCCAAACATCCTGCTCCCATCACTGTGAGCCCCAACCTGTATTTCGGCTCCTAACATGGTTCCCAGTCCCAGTCCCTGGACACAGACCACCTCCAGGACACTGCCTTTGCCACCCAAAAGGCCATAATGACATGCAAATTGCTCTTTAAGCCTCTTTTATTATCCACGTGTGATAGTTAAACTTGGATAGTTTATCCAGGACACACGGGCATTTATTTATACTCACATTTTCAGAACTAAAATGGAACTCATGAATAGGGACAGACAGTAATTACACCAGAACTCAGTACCGGGGTGGTGTGGGTCATGCCCTAAAACACCTGGGAGAGGCTGGAGGTGACAAACAGCTCCAAAACGGAGCCTGGCATGAACCCAAACACACCAGTGACCCCCAACATGGGGCAGGGGATCCCACTGGGCTGGTGTGGAGGAGCCACTGGGTGAAGGAAACCAGAGCCTCCCTTTGTAGGGCTTCCCAGTCCTGGAGTCTGGCCACCCCTTGTCATTTTTGGGGACAGACACGGAGGCCATGTGGATGTTCGAGGTGCTGCAGTGGGTGCAGCACCCAGGCTCTGTGGGATGAACCCCCTCAGCGCCAGGGGGGCTGTGGCTGAGCACAGTGGGAGGGGAGCAGGATACGTGCAGCTCACCTGGTTGGCTTTTTCCAGGTTCGTCATGATCATGGCAACTTCATCTGCCCTGCAAGGAGAAGGCAAGAGGCGTCAGCCAGCGCGGACGCAGCTCTCCATGGCCAGTGAGCGCTCCTGCCTTGGACACAAGCCTGCCTTGGGCTTAGGGATTCCCCGTGACTTGGGATGCTGCTGTGGTCACTTGAAGTCCCTCAGCTCCTCAAGCCATTTAGCAGCACCACGGGGACATCCTGGCAGTGCTGTGATGCCGCAAGCGGCTCGGCTCAGCGTCTGGCAGACCAAGAGCCTCTGGGCACAACCGCCGGTGCCTTACTTGGACGCCGCTTCCTCGTCGT